GAGGAGGAGGAAGAGGAGCAGGAGGAGGGCAAGGAGGAGGAACAATTCATCTATTTCTCTGCAGAAGGAGCCGAGTCAGCAGTGCAATGCTGCGAGGAGGAGGAGGAGGATTAATGAAGTCAGACGTGGTGGTGGTGTGGCGGACCCCGACGTCTCTCAGCAGACTTTCTAAATGATGTTCGTGTCTGCATCGCGCTGACAGCCGTCAGCTCCTCCACCTGACAGGCTGCTCAATCCTTCAGTCCAGTCATCGTTGTTATGGCCAGAGGCCTCAGAGGAGGAGACATCCAGGGTGAAAAGCAATCAAAGCTTCATGACGCGTCGCTGAGCTCCACGCTGATCCCCAGAGAGAGAAGATGGTTTACGGTGACCTCTGACCTCCGGGTGGAGGGGAGGAGATAAAGGAAGAATTTCACCCTCAAGGAATCGATTCTGCATCACTTCTCTCTTCGTCTCTGGAGATCCGGAGAGTTTAATCACGACTGAATCAAAGGTTACTCTCAGAAAGCTGACTGGATGAGTTTTAATCTAATTTGGATTTTAAAAGTTACCAAAAACATCTCTCTGCCTTCAGTGTTCCTGCCGGAGGGAAGACAGACAAACACATTCTCCATGAAAAATAAATCATGGCTCAAACTGCCCAGAGGACGATGTGTCACCAGAGTACAGCAGGTAGAACCTAAATCACCACACGCTCCTCTTTTATTAAGACTCCTCCAGAGAGACAGGGGGCATGCTGGGAGGTGAACCCACAGAGCAGCAAGAATTCCCTTTTTGCGGTCGGCTACCGAGCGCCCTCACCTCGAAAGCCCACTCCTAAACCCAACCGATGATGTCATCTGATGTCACCGTTTAATAACGCTGACCCGATATTTTCCAGGCGAGCGTCCCGGCAGTTTCTGAGGAGCTTGTGGATCCTTGTGGAGCGTCGGCGCCACAGATTATAACACGTCCTCTTCTCTCTGATCCACATCAGACCAACGAGAAGTTCTCTGGTTTTTGTTTCTGCTGCACTAACTGCAGTTTATGTTTCTCAGAAGTCTCTCGAAAAAAAGTTAAATCTCAAGCATTGTTTAAAAAAACAGACGACAGAGATAAGAATTGTCCTTAAAAACATGGCGGCTCCAAAGACATTCATCACCAGGATCAAACCATCAAGGGTTGTTTTATTTTGAAGGCGGTCCATGACACTTTAGGAGCCCGATTGGACCTCGTTTCCTCCACGACGACAGTGTTTTAAACTGGTCCAGTGTTGAAGGAGAAGGCTGCAGACGGCCACCGCTGACAGGCTGTAATGTAATCGTAATGTACGTCCACGAGAAGAGATTGTTACTGCTGCTGACAGACTCAGATTGTTGTTATAAGTGATGGAAAGAACCAACCTGTTGGTTATTGTGTCATGTGACTTGTTACCAGGAGACGACAGTGTGAACGTGAGTGACAGCTGGAGGGAGGAGAGTCGGTGTTGTCAGTTTGTGTTGTTGGAGATCAGAAAGAGAAGCTTAGTGTTCATCTAAAAGACGCTCAACGTCGCGGATGAATATTTAGATGATTTAGACAACGCTGATGTGACGAGAGGTTTCAGAACGAGACTTCTCCTTCAGAGGGACTCACAACAACAAGGTAAAGGTAAAGAAAGAGGTCTTATTTCTCTGGAGGCTTCGTTCCATAATGTTGTCAGACACTTCAAATAACAATCTGAGTGTGTCAGTGGAAACAACAAGAACTTCTAGTGGACGTACATTGATGGTGACGAGTTGCATTGCAAACTGTTTAGTTAGTCACTTAGACACAGAAACGTGTCAGATAGATACTTGACTTAGAGGAGACTTAAAATGTTTCCAAAACCAGAATTAATGTCGTTAAATAACCTGAATAGTTTAAGTTAGGTTATATCTGTGAACTGATCCTGCAGAAGTCTCAAATAAAACGATGATTTCATGAAGGAAACAAACTGGTCTCTCCTCTCTTAAACATCACGTAAAAGTCTATTGATGTCTGATAAAACATGCAGGAGATCTCTCTCCATCAGCTCATGAGAACGTCTAAACTGATGTAATCAATATCAATAAGAATCAGTCTCCGGTATCAGAGCTGGAGCTTCACTCTAGGTTCTAGCTTCACTTTAGGTTTTTTTTTTTACAACCTGCAGAGGACCATCTGTTGGTCTTCAGGAACACGTCTGTAGTTGCGCTCAGACTCTAATTTACGACACGTTTTGGAATCTCAGGCACCCGCAATATCTGTGCGACCTCTGGGACGTCCAGAGAGAACAAAGCGGAGCGACCAGATTGATGGCGGTCACGACCACGACTTAGAAAACAACAACTTCTCTCTAGAATTCAGGCGTTATTGAAGACACGTTTGACTCTCAGCTGCGTTCCGTTCCACTGAAAACAGACGGACTCTGAGCGTCTCTCCTGCTCCGTGAGCACTTTGCTGGTGTGTTTTTTTTACCTTGTGGAAGCTTCCGTGGAAGATCCTCTTCACCCGATCGTTGTCGAACGTGACTCTCTGGATCTCACCGCGCACGTCTTTGTTGTAGAAGGACAGCGTCTGGCTGGAGGCTGAGCAGAGAGACAGGAAGAGATGTTACTCTCTGATCTTCAGCCGAGAGAGCCAACGTTTGTTTACTTATTCAGAAAATTACTGTGGAAATTCTGCTGCAAACAAGCTCCTGAAAATAAGACCAGGTTCTAATGTTGTCATGCAAACAACAACATAAAAACAGCTGTTTTTATGTCTTATTCACTAATAAAAAATAAGATATCAAAAAGTTGACTTTAATTCTTCAAGTTTGCCAATTAATTATTATTAGTGGAATATTATTTAATCGTGTAAACGTGGTGAGTGTAGTGATGTGTGAAGAGTATTACACAACAGTAATAAGGCCACTCACACAACTACACAACTACTACGCTCTGTGGGTTTACAAACTCCTCCGAAATGTTGCTATCGAGTCTTTCAGGGGTCTGAGGTGTGAATCCAGTTCAATGCACTGAGCATCAACATTTCAAACATCAGCTATATCTCCCAGCTTTAAAGCAAAAGTCTGACATGATGTGAAATACATGTTCTGGAGCAGAAGACGTGATGCTACTCTCACATCTGTGCATTAAATCTGGAGCTGGAGCCAGTTAGCTTAGCACAAAGACCTGACACAGGAAGAGACAGTTAGCGAATGATTCCCTATGAAAACGTCAAACTGCTGCTTTAACAACGCGGATCGTTCCTCTCTGTAGAGGAGCTGAACCTCGTCCAAAAGGTTGTTGCTCAAGAACCAGAGCGACCCGTCTCTGGAGGGTTCCCATCGAGCCCAGCAGAGAGTCCAGCTGAAGGCCTGACACCGGGTCTTTACGAGAGCCAGCTGAGACCACGACACCAGACTCTCAAGGTCAAAAGAAGGCGGGAGTCGTTACGCATGACTCGACTCTCTCCATAAACGGACACAGCTGCTCCTCGTCCACACACACACACACACACACACACAGAGAACAGAAGGGGGGGGGGGGTATTTACGGTCCAGGGTGACGCCGGTCTCTGGCTTGTGGTCTTTGTTTGACACCTGCCAGATGTCGAAGGCCTCGCTGGGCGAGTCGGCCAGCAGGCGGATCATCATGATGATGGTGAAGGAGTGAGGAAGACCGTCGGGATGGATCTCTCTGTTCAGGAGACACGAAGATACGACGGGTTAGAACAAAACATCTCCGGTCCAGAGAGTCTTCACGGTACTTGTACATCTCAGTACATTAACGCAGCAGTAATCCAGAAACATTACTCACTCATCAATCAGCACTTTAGTAGATTCAGCCGATCACATACCTTTACTTCAGTAAGGGTTTGAACGCAGGACTTTTACTTGTCATGGAGTATTTTCACGGTATTGTATTGGTACTTTTACTGCAGTAAAGGGTCAGAATACTTCCTTCACCTCTAAACCGAACATATAAACTCATTTAGAATGACGTGTGTCTACTTCTACAAGAGTAAAAGGATTGTTATCAATGTTTCCACCATTGGTTCTTCGTATATATATATATATGTGTATATATCAGGATGTTTCTCATGATGTCACTACACATATTAGAAGGTCAGACTTTGGTGAAGAGTCAGACCTGGAGCTGTTTTTCTGGCCGGTATCAACAGTCTAGTTTGCACTCGGCGGCCTGACGGAGGCTTCAGGCTGGAGGTTGTGACCTCACGGAGCCTCGTAAATCCACTGACCCGGTTTGTAAAGAGAAGGAGCTCAAACAGTCACAGCTGGGCAGAACGAGATTCCTCCCACTAACAACAGCGGTGCGGAATAAAAGCATGGTTCAAATGGTGTCTTTTTATGAGCACCGAGTGTTATTAGTGTTGCTCTGAAGAGAATAAAACCTCAGCGGTTGAGCTACAACTCAACGGGGAAGTGATCATTTCATCAGGGTGTACTTCCTGTCTTAGGTTGTCTTGCTTTGTTAAGCTCTGTTAAAGCACTTTGTAAACTCTGCTTTTAAAGGTGCTATTTGAATAAAGTTATTATTGTTATCTTTGTTAGCTGGTTAGCTTAGCGTGATTGTCCAGGCTAGCGGTTGTTCAACGAGCATCAAACAGGAGCAGATCCCTCATAAAGAGACCTCTTTAAAGGTTTGATGCTCTCAGCAGTGGTTGTTTCTCTGGTCGATGTGTTGAATCACTTAAAGACTGCTGATGTTAGACCAGAGATGCATGTCCTTCTTTAGACGTTCATATTTCCACAGTGGCTGAACAGATTTCTACCATTCAAACCGTCACACAACCTTCAAGACTCACGTTGTTGGCTGAGTGAGGAAGGCGTCCTTGTGGAGCCTGTAGGCCGTGAAGCTGTTGAAGGAGCCCGCCTCCATCGAGACGCCTTTAACGTAACCGTAGGTCTTCTCCGTCAGGTTGAAGGCCTCGAGCATCCGGAAGCCTGAAACACAACCGATCAGAACCTTTGTCTCTGGAGATACATCTAAGTCTCAGTCATTGGTAAGTGGTGGATTTCAGCTTTGCACTCACCAGGTGAAGTGAATCCATTCAGGTAAATCAGGGGACACGCTGTGGAACAAGACAAGAGAACCACAAAATTCAGCTCCTGAAAACAGAACCGTAAAAATAAAAAACTCTGTTTTTGTTTCCGTAGATTTGGTGCAAACTTACAGGACGTAGCGGTCTCACAGATGAAGTTGATCAGGTTTTCTTTGATGGTGTCGAAAGCGTCGAAGTCGTCCACGACGAAGACGTGTCTGTCGCTGGGTTTGCTGCCGATCTCCTGCAGCTCCACGAAGTCCACGTCGGCAACACCGATGGCGAAGACGCTGTAACCTGAAGACGGGACGTAGAAATACGCTCAGAACGCCGTAAACCCGCTGAACCACAGCGTCACATTCTACTCCTACGTCACATAAGTCCTGCATCTCTATAGAAACAGAACCGTCACGGGGAGAAGGAGAGGGAACTCAGACACGAGTGTTTTTGGTTGACGATCAGAGCAACGGTTTGTTTGTGACAAATTATAAATGAGACGTGAAGAAAAACAGTGATTTTGATGAAATGTCCCGATTTTAAGCTTTGATTTGTTTTCTTTTCTTGGTGAAAGTCACGCATGATGTGTTCAAGTACCGCTGGAAAGATGAAGATCTGACAATGATGTCTTTAATATTTTTAAAGCTTCAGGCTACGATTAAAAAAAATTAATTAAACACACAGTTTTGGGGTTGAGAGATTTTGTGGCACGTTGAAAGGCAACAGAGTAGTTTACTGCTCTGACTTCAGCCTCCAGTTGCCCCTAATTCTGCCAAATGATCCCAGATTGAGGGAAATCAAGCACACAGATCTGAACCAGAGCAGTTTCAGCAATATCCATGATTCAGACCGGTGCAAGCTGCTTCTCTTTAACAGAAATGTACCGTACAACAACAAGCTGATAACCGGTCTGCAGCCTGCTCTGTTTTTGTTCTTACAGGTCACGAGAGAGACTCAGATGAAGTCACGAAGGAGCCGATGCATCACGTCGATGCATCGTGGATCCTGCCGTTACCTGCGTGCTGCAGCTTGGCCGCCTTCGTCTTCACCTCGTCCTGAGAGCGTCCGTCGGTGATGACGACCACCACTTTGGGGACGTTCCTCCTCATTCCGTTCTCCACAGAAAAGGCCTTCTCATAGGTGTGTTTCAGCGCCACTCCTGTTCGACAGACAGAGAGAGAGTCAGAAAACAAACAACCTCCGGCTCACCGACGGACCGTCTCTGTGTGGCGCGCGGTATCGAACCTGTCTTGGTGTTTCCTCCTCGGTAGCGGATGAGATGAGAAGCAGACATGGCGACGCCTTTGTCTTGGTAAGCGTTCAGCCGGAACTCGGTCTTTGCTTCGTCGCTGTACTGCACGAACGACACCTGAAGACACACGAAAGACCCTCAGATGCATCTCAAGAAGGTTTTTATACAACGCAGGTCAAATATAATCCTGTTAGCCTGGGTGAACTTAAGACCTTACAGGAGGCATGAAGAAGGTCACGGGGATGTATGAATGAACTAAAATAAAAACCATGTGTATGTGTTGATCTGCAGCCACTGGATGGACACAAACCTGCATCCCAGAGGGGCCGATCACATCGAAGGCGGCGATCATGCCGGAGACGAAGCTCCTGACTTTGGTGAAGCTCTCCTCCCCGATGCTCCAGGAGCCGTCGATGAGGAACACCACGTCGGCTTTGGCTCCTTTGCAAACTGAGGCGAGGAAAGAAAAAAGCAGTCGATTACGGAGCGCTAGAGAGTCCAGCACCACGAAAACCAGCAGACCAGATGACATCGTCACACGACATCAGAGTGAGCCGGCATGATAAAGTCATGATCGAGGCCGAGGATGGTGATGGCCAATAAAAACATTTAAAATAACACAAAACAAGCAACATTTGGTGAGCAGCAGGCTTGAGAAGTGAGCTCTCATCAGTGAGCTCCTCAAATCATCTCCGCCTCGTGTGATGCAGCGAGAGATTGACAAAGACAAAGACACAAAGAGGTTCTCTTCCTTTCAACGGGCGGCTGACGAGGAGCACGTGTGGCGGCTAATAATTCACCGCTGGCACGCCTCGGATCCAGAAGGAGTCGGCTGGGAAAAAAACAAGGAGGCCAAAAGGCCTCATGGAGGAGTTTCCAATCAGAGCCGAGCTTGAAGGAAAAGACCGGATCCAGTCAGACCTCGCAGGATCCATGTTGGACCTGCAGCTTCTGCATGTGGTGAATTATTATCACGTTGTTTAAGGAGGAAACTCACTCATTTTGAACAACTGCAGGTAGCTTCTTAAACTGTTGGATGTGCTGCAGCTGAGCAGCACAGTGACGTTAACGTTGTTTGTTTCAGACTATGATATGATACGTTTATAAAGAACTTCTCCTTCTACGAAGACAGGAAAAAACAATAGTGTTGAAAGACAGCTGGACAAACGTGAACTTTAACTTCAGTTGGACTTGACAGCAAAGGTTTCTGGGTGCCTGGAGACACTTACTTGCCCACGCTGGGGGGACGGTGGGTGGGGGGGTCGGGGTCGGCGGGAGTGTTGGAACCGGAGTTGGCTTCACCACTACGAGAAACAGAAAATCAGCATGTTTGTAATAAATACAGGACAACAGTAATAAACATGTTGTGTGATGAGGTCATTGTTTTTTGGACCGCTGCTGTGAGGTGATGTCACTCTCTGGTTGCGTAACACTTCGGACCTCAGACACCACGGTTCACGGTGGAGAGAATGATTTGCAAACACGACTCTGTGTTCAGCTACAGACATTTCCTTTCAGCTTCTTTGAGAAACGTCTTCAGAGTGATGTGATGTGACAGAAGAACTCACGGGTCCTCTCCTTGGCGCTGACTCCCGGACCCTCCAGGTTGGGCGTCTGAACGAACACGGTGGCGGTGTACAGGGCGTCTGGAGAAAGTCCGTCGAAGCAGTACTGAGGAAGACCGGCGGGGATGGTGATCTCATGCTGTCCTTTACTGGAAGCTGCAGGAGGAAGAGGACATCGTTATTCCACCAATCAGAGTAAAAACTGGGTTATTCCTTTAGTGCACTCTATCTTAAAGACATATTTTCCATTACGTCCAGCACATCTGTCGTGTTGAACACTCATTTTCAGAATATTGAAACCACTCTCAAAGATGCTCCATTGGGAAGACGCTCCACTCCCTCTTCCACGCTGTTCATCTTTGGGAGAACCAGGTTTGATTTATTTTCGGGGGTTTAATTACGGCAGAAACTTCATATTCTGATAAACACGTTGATTAGCTAGCTTGCTACTGACACAGTGTGTGTGTGTGTGTGTGTATTAAAGACGTAAACAGGACATTTTAGTGGATCATTTATTGTTCATTTGAACCTCTCTGAGACTCATCAGTCAGACTGATTACCCCTCAAAGGGAACACGTGAGGCAGACGAGCTCCAGCCTTCCCACTGGACGGATGAAGAGTGACAGCTCCAGCCTCGTTAACTACACCCAGCGGGTTTCATACCGTCGATCAGCTCTGAATCATCACCAGAGATTAATACAAGTGGTGAAAACCCAGATATTCCTTCATTACATGCATCTCCAGGGGTATGATAGCATCAACGATGATCAACACTGACTCAAAGATTACTTCCCCTGGTGCTCACATGTCCGGCTTTTAGAAGGAACTCAAAATGTTGCCAAACTTTTCCAAATGACGTAGAAGAACTTATATTTAAAAATGGAAAAACCATATCGGACACAAATGATGTGTCTGGAGCAGATGTTTAAAGATTCATAAAGATTCATAAGTAACAATCAATATAAAATAAACACGTATAAACTCAACTACTGTACTTCATCAGGAAAAAGAGCTCAGACATATAATCGTGTGTTCCTGTAGGCAACGTTTCTCATCTTATGAAACTGATTAATAAAGTTCTCGGGGCCTTTAAGTCGTTTCTTAACTGCTTCTCTCGTCTGATTTGCTGTGAAACACTTTTCTTTCTTTTATTTTGAAGAAAGCAGGATGAATCAAGTGAAGATGACATCACGTGTGTCCATCACGCAGAGAAACAGTATGTTTGTAGAGCTGTAATTTCTGTTTTGTTGCTAACGGAGGAAAACATAAAAAGATCACTTAAAGCTGCTTAAACTCCTCGAAGGCACTCGTCTTGAGAACGTTGACATGTGTGCACGTCTGAGCGGTGAAGTACTGACGGTGAGCTTTCCTCTTTACTCGGTGATTTCTAGCGAGCACAAACAAAGAAAGCGTGTTTACAGCGAGGAAGCTGCTCTTCGGTGCTCTGAGACCTTTAGTCCGGTGACGCAATGCGTTCAGAACGAGCTCTGTAACATCAACAAGTTATGATGGAAGTCGACTGTCAATTGTTCTGGGAAACACACACACACACACACACACAGGGCCGAGGTCTGCTCCAGAACAGTGGCCCCAGTTCATCGGGAGTGATGTGGACTAAATATGAAGCCTGAAATATTTCGGATGCTTCTTAAAAACTGGCAGCAGCCGGTTCTCCTTTCAAACGGCTTTAAACTGCGGAGGGAACATCGGCGGAGAGCCGGAGCCTCGCCGGATGTGTTTCTGATTCCAGCTATCATCTGTCCCACGCTAGCAGAGCCTTTATTTATTCTGGCAGCCCGTCACAGCGTCCCCGCCGGCTAATGACTACCATATAGATATTTAAACACCGATGTTCCCTTTTCCTGTTTCTTTTAACCGCTAACACGTCTCTCTCGGCGTGCAAACACACAACCAGATGGGACTCAAACACCCCCGGCGGTAATTGAAAAGGATGAAATCTCCAGATGCAAATAAAAAGCTCGGTGGTCGGGACGCTTCCAGTCCACGCCAACACTTGCATCCTACTCGGGGTAATAATCACGGAGGAGGAGGAGGAGGAGGAGGAAGAGGAGGAGGAAGAAGAGGAGGAGGAGCAGGAGGAGCAGGAGCAGGAGTAGGAGGAGGAGGAGCAGGAGGAGGCCTGAAGGTAAACAGTCGAGCTGACAGCTAAACGTTGTAAAGCATCTGTCTACAGAGGTGACCTCATCTGGAGATCGAACATCTGCTGGGAGTTCATGTTACCACATGCATCAGCTCAGACGAGTCACATCGGATCAGGATCAGGATCAGGAGTGTTAAAGTGGATCAGGTGGAGGTGTCAGTTTGACAGTTGTCGTCAGTTTATTAAGGACTTATTTACCAGAAGTTTACATTTATCTTGTGGCTGTTTGGCGTTCCTCTCCTGTGATCTATTCAAAGTTAAACTAAGGGACCAGTGACGATATAAATAAAGACGACGGTTCCAGTGTTTGTCTAAAGGATAATTTTCATCTGTTGGTCTTTGGCCATCAAACCAGAATTTAATCTCAAAACATAAAACATTTGTTGTTCTGGTCTTCATCAAGTGAAAATGTCAGAAGCATTTCCTGGTTGCAGCTTCTCAAAGTCAGCATCTACAGCTGTGAAATGTCTGTTCATTGATATTCATGTTTTATGGTAATAAACTGAACCCAGTGACTTCGAGAAGAACAAATAGCTGTGACCAACCGGTGGAGTTTATATCCACATCCTGCCACTTCATCATTTTATACTTTTACACATTCGTGGGAAAATATTCATAATTAGCAGATGAATTCTTGAGTTGAGGCCAAATACGTGTTTTGCGAGGTCCCCGTGACCTTTGACCACCAAGATCTGAAATCAGTTCACTGAGTCCAAGTGGACTTTTGTGCCAAAGTTGGAAGAGATTCTCTCCAAGCGTTCCTAAGATATCACATGCTGAAGGATGAACTTCAAACCACTGAAGTAAACACTCAAGCAGCTGACGGTGTGGAGGAGACTTACGGTCCACGGGCCGGAGCTTGATCCGGTACGACGTGGCCGCCCGGTGAGAAGTCCACTTGATGCAGAACTTGTCGTGGTCGGCGTCGTAGGTCTCAATGTTGGTCACGTTCAGGTACACTGCAGAGGACGTACATTCACATTTACATCGTGTCTCTGACTGCAGACCGCTGACTAAGCACTAAAAGAGCTTTCAGGAGAAGGTCAGCAGGTTAAAACGGACACTTGAAGGTTTTCCACTTCCATTGCCTCGAGTCAAGTTAAACGTTTAACATTTGTCTGTTTCATATCCTCGTCTTCATGCGACAGCTTTGTGGTTTTCTGCCAAAGTCATGAATTTACTTTTTATAGACTTTAAGTCACACAGTTTTACAAAAGACTCTTTAGATTTTTCTAACTCTATATTTTAAGCAGATGAAGAATTTTAGTCATCGTGGACGTTAAGTTATGATCGAAACAAACGTCCTCAGCTCCTCCAGGACGTCAGAGTCGGAGAAACTCAGTTGTTTAACGTGAAGCTGCTTTATGCAGTGTTTTAGTCAGAGGAGGAGACCTCTGTGGACTACAACTCCCATGATCCCAAGCTGCTTCACCGCGTCACCTGTTATACTTTTGATTGACAGTGGCAGAAAACGACATGTCATGCATCTAAGTGTTTTTACAATCTACAGTAAGTCTCGTCCGAAGTCAAGTGTCACGTTTCAAGTCAGCTCCAGTCCCTTTAACAACCGACGGTGGAGAGAACGTGTTGGACTCTTTTGCTGCCCGTCTCATGACAGCGGGACTCTTTCCCACACACTTCCCGTACGTACGTGTCGTTCCCTGCCCGGGCAGCGGTCCACTCATGCCGCCGACGTACTGAGCCACCACTTTCAGATCGTAGGTGGTTCCAGGCAGCAGGTTGTGCAGCGTGTACGAGGTCACGTCGCCCACGAAGAAGTCCATGGGCTGGTTAGTGCCTGGAAAGATAACAAAGACGAAAATAAAAGACATCACAGTGTCCATCTTTAAGTCAGAACATCAGAGAGAGCAATCACAACTAACTGGGAAGCTTTTTGCAGCTGGTGACTCGTAGCCGAGGCCGAGTTCACTCACAGTCTGAGGGAAACAATCCCAACTCAAGGGCCACTTACTCGCTTTTTCCCCAGAGAAACAAACTGTCTTTAATTTCAGGCTTGAAGCCAACACGGAGGAGAGAAGTCATACAAGTGTGATGGATAGAATCAAAACAGCTTCTGAGCTCGCATGTGAACAGATTCATCCAACATCCATCTACTGATGAAGACTGTCTCATTCAGCTGAAAGCTCCAGAAGAAGAAAGTGGACCTTGAGAAAGAAGCAGTTTCAAACATTGGACACATTTAACTAACAATGATGTGTCCTGTGTAGGATATTCTATATTCTGATGGTCATGCATCGACGACAGCGCTTAAAAAGTATAATTTTTAAGCTCCATTTTCTCTTTTCTCTAATCTTTCCATTTTTATACTCTTTCCCCACCAGAACCAGCGCGTATATGCAGGTTTTTAAACTTGGAAAACCCACTAAAAACAAGCGATGCTGCGTAGTTGCACTGGCCTTTCTGGGTTTTGTTCTTACTTCAAACTCTCAACCCAGAGCTGTTTGTTTCTGTTCAGTTTAAATGAAGTGTGTTTCACGAGGATCAGCGAGGTGACACTACTGTTTCTGTCTATGGAGCTGACTCTGGGCTTCCAAAACATGTTGAAATGAATTAATCTGCAACCAACATGTGCTTCATATGAAAGGGTTAAACAGCCAAATCATCAATTCACAGGATCCTAAAGACGAGAGCAGGGAGACGAGCTGATACACTGTGTTGTGTTGGTCTCACCTGCTGGAGCGTAGATGAGTCTGTATCCCTGGACCGGAGCTCCCACCGGGTCCCAGGCCACCCTGAACCTGGTGTACCACTCATCGGAGACTCGGAGGTTCCTGGGACTCAGCATCCCCACTGAGACACAGAGGAGGCAACGCGTCAACAACACCACATGATATTTAGAACATTACGTGACGGGAGGCAAAGTGAACTCCACATGTTTGGATCTGTCTGAGGAGTTCTAACTCTCACAAATAAAACAGCGTTTAAGTCAGACATAAAAACACATCTCTTCCTCCTCAGTAGCGAGTCCCTGCTGGTTCCTGTCCTTCTGTTAATGAAGCTCATTACATGTGAGCCGTGTTTAGGTTCTGGCTCTTTACTCGGGCCGGTCAGCTAGTGAAGTTGTGAGTTGGACCGACGCCTGAGCGCTCCTATTGTTAGTGTAACTAGCGCTCCTGCTCACCGGTAAAGTGCTCTCCCAGTTTGGCTCCTGTGAGATCCCAGTGGTCCGAACCCGTCACACTAAACCCTGTTAGCACTGTTGACTAATGCACATGGACTGTGTTTATTTTCTCTGCACAGACTCCTGCAGCCCGCCGGCCCGTAGAGCTGTCAGGTGTTTAGCTGAGTGAGAGCTCACCGTGACGCAGAGTTCACAGGTTCAAACCCAGCAACACTGAGAGAGGTCTCACTCCATCTTCTTATAGAAGATGTTCTAAAGCAGGCTGGAGGCTGCTTTTTTCTTTTTAGATTGAAACTGGAGCTTCTCTAGTCGTTCCTAAAACCCACTGACCGTGTTATTAAAGTGCAGCTGCCTCACCTGTGCGTCCGTTTCCATTGAGGGACCCTCCGGGACCCTCGGTGTAGATGGCCTCCACAGTGATGTTGTACGGGGTGTCGGGGAGCAGATTCTGCAGCATGGCGTTGTTTCTGTTCCCTGGAACCACAGTCTGAGGATGAGAACACGGCACAGAGTCAGAGGGTTCCACACGCAGAACAACGCACGCGTTGTGTTTGGTTTCTCCTCCGACATCTCAGCGCTCCACACTAATTAAGATTCTTTCACATTACAGTCATTTAGCAGACGCTTTTATCCAAAGCGACTTACAATTCAGTCTATCACATTTCTACACCATAGGCACAACTACGGGAGCAATTTTGGGGTTAAGTGTCTTGCTCAAGGACACTAGCAGAGCGGAGCCAGGGATTGAACCGCCGACCCTCTGATTGAAGGACGGCCCTGCTATCCACTTAGCCACAGTCGCCCCCAGAGTCTTCCGTCCAGCTCAAAAGAAGAACACTTTGCCTTCCTGTAGTTCTTTGTCAGTTGAATAAATTTGCACATTTGTTTGTGATGTTAGTCAAAAGTTTGTTATAAAATGTTAAATCTGTGTTTCACCCACTAGACTGGCAGAGGGATTTTTAATAACCGGGCCGGAATCATTTTGTGTCCTGAAGCAGATAAATGTGGTTCAGATAAAACCTCGTCCATTAGCCACAGATGCTAAACTGTAATAACCGCATGCATTAATAAACGGCAATAAGTTCCTCGGTCAGTCCCGGTCTGGAGAAATCTTTTCATCGCCATCCCTCCGCTACGGTTAGCTGACTCATGCAGAACAGGTGCCTCGCTACCAAGCGGAGGGGGAGCACACCTGGGCCGCCTCCGTCGCTCCAGCTCCTTATTCAGGACTATTCATAAGGTTATTAAGGCCCCAATTGAGGTGTTTGTTTAACAGAGCCTGTAATTAGTCTCACTAATCGGTGATTTATTACCTGGACGGGTCGAGGGAGTCCTGAGATGTGACTTCACTGCATAGTTTGGATGGAACATCACGGCGACGGGTGTACGGAGAGTTTATCCAGAGTAACAAACAGATGAATCTCTCTTTACGGCTGAAACGAGGAGGCTCGAGCGGATTCAACAAGCTTGAGATGTTTCATTGTCTTCACAAATATCCGTCTACTTCTAAAGTATTCAGCCGAACCTCTCTGAGCTCCTTAGACTCGTCGTAGACTTTGTTATAGTTTTGTCTCCATTTGCAGGAAGTTCCACCTCCGGGCCGGTTGCTCTATCTCTACAGTTCCCTGAGGGTTGATGCTACACGGGGGACGATATTCCGGCTACACGGCGTACTTACAAACTCAGTGATGGGGTCTCCGGTCATGGGGGCGTAGGCGATCCTGTACTGCCTCATGGGTCCCTCTGCGTGGTCCCAGCCGATGGTGAGGGTGCTGGTGGTGGCGTCAAACACACGCATGTTCCTGGGACCGGCACGCGGCACTGCAGCACAAACACAACGCACACTTATACAACGTGCTGTATGATGATACACTGGGAGTTTCTGCTCACACTGACAGACTACAGGTGCAGAAAGGATCAAGAAAAAGTCTCTTTATGTAAAAATAAAACTATAAATGGACCTGTCTTTGAAATAAAACCATATTTTATGGACCACAGAGGCCTCATTCTTGAAACCGTCAGCAAATCGCTCTCATTTTTGTTATAATAACATCAGATAGAAATTAATTTATCCTGGTGAAGCTTGACGACGACATGAAAAGCTCGATTTTTAAATACTCACAGTTTTGGAAACTGTTCTTCGTGGTAGTTTGTTTGTTTTATGGCAACCACCAAATGTAAGTCATGTGACCCGTTCTGAAGAGTCTGTATCATGAGGTCATGCGTTTAGAGGAGCTGTGATGAGCCTGCTTGTTGAGATGAACACCTCTTGAAGTGTGTGATGCATATGTGAAGCTCAGCATGAGGCAGTGAACATGAATGCACACGGTGTCACATTGTGGGATTGCTGCCGTCGCTCTTACGTGTTCTGCCGTTGTCTTTGACCGGCGATCCCTCTCCGTCGGCATACAGAGCCGCGACGCTCACTGAATAGGGAGTGTCTGGGATCAGGTTGTCCAGGAAGGCGTTGTTAACGTTCCCTGGAACCAGGACCTTTGTGGAGTAGACACCAGAGGATCAAACATTATATACTGTATATATACAACAGACATCATCACGATGACGGCTCTGCCTATTCAAATGAGCCTCTTCATGCATTACACAGAGAGCTGGCAGTGATAATGTACATAATGACCTCACTGCTCATCCAGCTATCATAGAAGCATTCTGCTGCCAGAGGTTCTTTCCCTGGAACACTAACAGAAGGCCTGGGAGGTCAGGCGGCTAAACACATCATTGGTTCAGTAAGTGGACCGACGGATAAACAGTTTCTAAGAGGAAGCGGCCGGAGAGAGCGGCGGCTGTCGGCAGGAGTTCAGGCACGCAGCTCGCTAGACAGCGAGGACGACGGCGCGAGGCCGTCTGTTGTCGCCGGGATTATCACGGCGTTTACCCGTCTGTGAAAAAACCCAGAGGCGTTAGATCATGGGAAATGCATCTGCTGGGTTTGAACTCCAGTCCACCCTCATCCAGAGATGCTTTTGTTTTGCTTAAAGCAAATATCTCAGAGGGGTTTTGGATCCAAAGCTTCTGGCACACGGGGGACCATGAGAACGGGTTCCTCTGCGATGATGTGGTTGAGATCCCACAACTGGAAGCGAACGTACGCCTGCTGGCCGGTCAACAGTGAGGCCAACACATTGGCCGTTGTCCTTTTAAAACATGATGGATTACACTGGACTGGAGGTAGAGTCATTCAGTCACTTCCTGACGGCGGAGCTGCTCTCCAGGGTTCACACGGAGCTCACTGGTCGAGGTAAATCTCAGTGAGTGGAGCTAAATAATCCCACTTCTTCTGGCTGATTAATGAGCTTTTAAGAGGCGTTGTGTTTACTGCCTTTAATAGTCGACTTGAATGATACATTCAGACGGTATTCATCTCATTTTTAAGTACAAATTCAGCTGTGATGTTTGCTAATAAAGAAAATAGGGAAGTTCCATTAATTAGCTTCGCTCTCATGGTGGTCTGTAGTAGTGCTCATGTGGCTCCATGATTAATTATGATTAATTATGATTAATTATGATTAACTGCATCGTACATCCGTTCCCTTCTCACCCCGGACAGACAAATACGCACCAGTTCAGAAGTGAGCGGACACCTCGTCTCTCCTATTGAAGGACATCTTAATGCTAAAGTACACTTTCATATTTTAGACAACAGTGTTCTCCCAACTCCGTGTCGTCAGTTTCTTTCTTTCCTGTTTCAACAGGACTAGAACTACAGCTCCATAAAGGGATGGATTCCCCAGTCTGGCGTAGAAGAACTAGTTGGGATGAAGTGGAATGCCGACTCTAAGCCAGACCTGATCACCCAACACCAGCGTTGGACCCTTTTTGAGCAAATTCCTGCATCAGGTTCCAAGATGTGGTGAAGAAACTGAATAGTGGAGGCTGTTAGAGCGTCACATTCATGTCCATATGGTTTTGGGATCACATGATCAACTGTCACACGTGGATGTAATCTTTCTACAGAACGTTCTGAAATCTATTTCCTGGCTCGGCCCGCTGACGTTAAACTCAAATGAATTGTCTCTTTAAAGCAGGATTGTCTCTCTTACCTCTACATCTGTGGTGTAACACAGGCCCGTTTAATCTCAACTACACTGGATCATCTTTGTGTCTTTACCAAACCAACTTCCTCTCAGAAACCAAACCAACTTCCTTTTTAATTAAAAAACCCACGACAGAAGTGAAGCTAGAGAGGAAGTGGTGACGGCAAGTGATAATAAAGTGCTCAGAGTGTTGACGATGGGGGATGATAAACTACACGGTGATATTAGCTTCACAGCATCATCAAAGCACAACCTAATCACCAAAACAGCCAAACTAGATTACAGCATCATGGCCCCAACAACATGAAACCATCGGAGCGTTCAATGATGTCAGTCACAGATGTGTCCTCTCTGTCATACAGAGTTCAGACTCTTTCTGGGGAAACAAAACCTTCTTTTGTCTCAGTACGGATGCAGAGAAACTAAAAACTGACAAGTCATCTGTTTAAGAGCATCGTCATCATGACTGCTGCTCAAACATCTGCGCAACATCGACGACCCGGTGATAGCTTTGACCGAAAGCTAGTGAACGCATCGATGTCATCGGTTTAATCAGATGTGGAGATGAGACGGATAAAACTGTATTTAAACCTTCAGACAACCAAGAGAGAAGGTCTGAGTTCAGTGGCACGGAACAGTCCAAACTCAAAATACAGCAGTGTGAAAAGAACAACCAAAGTGAAGAGCAACAAGTCCTGAGTCAAGACCTGTAAGTCTCAAGTCCCGAGTCTGGTCCAACAAGAGCCAAGTCAAAAGCAACAAGTCCCACATTAAGAGCAAAATTAAGTCCTGAAAAAGACCCAAGTCTCTGGTTTTGACCTAAAAGTCTCAAGTCAAGAACTAAGTGAAGACCTGTAAGTCTCGTGTAAAGTCCCACACTTTGTAACTTCAGGACGACATCATGTCAAAAAGCTAAAGTCCAGCTGAAGTCACCAGTCAATCAATTCTTGTTTGATTTAATCAAATCTAAAGTCCCCAGATTCATAACCTGAGTCTGACTGAAGTCAGAGTCATGTTACTTGAGACTAAACCTCTAAAATCATTCTTTGGGTTTTGGACTATTAGTCGAACATAATAACCGTGAAGACGTCCCCCTGGGCTCTGGGACAGTTTATTATTCTTTTGGGTATTTTCAAGACTAAATAAACATTTTATTATAGATTTTATATCAAAAGATGAAAATAATCATTAGTCGCAGCACTCTCTGTCATGATACCTCTTTTATCTTAAAACAAGCAAGACAAGAGCTGCTAGTGGAATGAGATAATCCCCTTTATTCAAATATAATACCGCTAATCTTAAGATCTATCCTGGAGACACTACAGTTGACCTGCGGCTCTTTGCTAGAAGTTCTTGATCCCAACATTTGTATCTGTAATCCTTTGAGAGCAGGGACACTGATCTCCGAACCCTCGAGGCACATCGTGCGGCTAATGGCGGTTGTGTGTGTTTTAACAGCCTGCAGAGAGAGTTACTCACCGACTCAGCGGGTTTAACTCCGCTCAGGGAGGAGTACGCCACCCGGTACTGCTGAACCTGGCCCGAGGCGGGCTCCCAGCGCACGTTCAGGCTGTTGGCGCTGGGGTTGTACACCTGGACGTTCCTGGGTGGCGTGCGTGGGACTGCAGGGGTCACAGAGGTGAAGAGAAAGTGAGGTGAGGAACGGTGGGGGGGTGATTTTATTTTACTTAGCAACCAAACATCAAAACAAAGGATTTGTTCCCGTTTTAGGACCCAGAAAGTGCCGACTAACGCTGATGGATTCACAAACACGTAATTGCATTCCTGCAGATGTCGGTCAGTGAAGTGCTGAACAGAAACGGAGCGAATATCAAGCCAAGGATCAGATTCTCTGTTCAGATTTTGCATTTTTTTACAGAACAGTTTACAGAAAGTATGACCTCCTGTGACAATCTGGTGTTGTCTGTTAAATATTACAATTAAAAGAAACAGATTTCACTTGGAAACACTTCCAGAACCTCTGGCTTCCATCAAGACAACAGAGCATTTAATGGGAGAATAAATGGTCTGAGCAGTGGGACGCCCGGCACTACAGGCAGACTTGAGGTTGAACTCAATCGCTGAGTGCAGCACAAGTCTGCTGCGTTTTATAGCGTGGAGAATGTGGAGAGAGAAGTAGCTCCGTTTTGGGGTTTCATGCAAAAGCCCTTAACTTCCCTTTTAAACGGGGCCAGATGTGCACATCCCCTGGTATTTGGAGCTTTACCCAATAAAAGAGAAGTGGATGCAGTAGGTAGATTTAACCGGAGCCTCCTCCTCAATCAGGACTAAACCTCCAGACTAAACCGTCCCCCTGATGTTCTATAACCACATTAAGAGAAATCAACATGTAATACCTCTAGAAACAGAGGCCAGTCTGTCCCAATGTTTCACTTCCATCACATCAAATGACCTTCTATCCGTCGGAGGGATTAAGTAATCCTGATCTGATGTTCTGTTATTAATCGTTCTTCAGCAGTTACATTACCGGTTTGTTGTTTTCTCCACATTTCTGGAGTGAAACACTGTTTTTTTCCAGACAAACTGTGACTAATTCCTCCTGGGAGGGAAACAGTAGAAGTGGAGTTACTGCAGATAAAAGATCATTAACGTCTCACACGGGCTCATATTCACTGATGGACGGACTCGGCTGCGATGGAGAGATCGCCAACAGACGGACGTTACTGGTTCTACTTCTTTGTCATTCTGCACAAATGAATGTTTCACTGAAGCAATAACAACCCTTTATGACAAATAAACGATGATGAGTATTTAGCACGAGCAGCGAGAGTTCCTCGGTGAACACAAAGCTTCATGTTTAAAGACGAAGAAGCCAGAAACAGCCGTCCTGATGAAGGCGAGGAGCAGGAAACCTAATGCACCGAGGCGTACTGGTATTTCACTGTCCTTCAACTTATCCCCAACCAGCCGTCTCTACAGCGGCTAACTATAATATATATAATATATATAATATAATATATATACCGAACCAAAGCTCTGAACCCAACCACGGATGGAAACAGATATTCTGAAGGGGAAACAGACGTCAACCCATCTGAGTAATAAATCCTCAATAGAAGCTTTGAATTACTCTCAGTACAGTTCTATCCTTCTGAGTAATGAATCCAGATCCAGAAACACTCCAGAGATTCATGTTTCTAAAGTTATCACAGCAACAACCATGTTATCTGACATCGGTCACCACAGTGAGGGGCTGCGTTCAGTGTCTCAGTGAAGCAACGCGGCCGCACTGAACATGTCGTAATCAAAACCCCACCGACCCCAGAAACCCAAATTGGACATAAACTGTCCTCAAAAACCGACTTCCAAACAAAGAGCATCACATTACACGTGGACGACTGCTCGATGGATTATCCCGACCAGAGGAAATATTCCGGCTCATGTTTGCCCGCTGGAAGAAGTCTGTGGAATCACTCCCCAATTAAAAGAAAAACAACCCAGGATGCATTTCTGCTGACTCTGCATGCCACGCCGTCTGGGCAGGAACAAAACCAACACACACACACACACACACACACACAACGGGAGGTCAAACCACCCAGACGAGCCACTGGTTCTCTAAAACCCAGAATGTTTCTCCATCATTATCCCTGCTTTATGTTCTGCCATCCATCACTCTGAATCTCTGTTGTTCCATCGACTCATTGGGAGTTTTGGAGGCTGCTTGTGATTTAGGACTTTTTGGCTCTTTCTGCAGATTTCCACTGAAGGAGATGCTGTTTGTCTATAAAGATCTTTCTGCCGTAGAACTTTGCAGAAAGATTTTTCTTCTTAAACTATCTGAAGATGATGCAGTGTGGGAGAAAACACTGCCCATTTAGTTACGGGTACTTTAGTGCAGACACTTGTAAACTTTAAACATTTATCCCAGCAGAGGAATGACTGTTTGTTTCCACTGGCAGCTGCTCAGTAAAACTGTGACCTCTGACCTTTCACTTCAGCGCAGGAGGAGCTGGTTAAAGCTAAGAGAAGAGAAGCAGGAGTCCGCTCTCATGGCCGGCGGTTCAAAAACAACACGAGCGAACAATGACGTCAGCAATAAAGGTGCTAAACATGATGAAGCTGTTTTTGTCCGTCAACTTTTCTGGACATTAAATTTGTAAAAACGATGCCGTGTTCTGGATATTCACACGTTTACAACAGCAGATGTTTTCCCTCCGTGTTTCTTTAAGCCTGTTTATCGTGAATCTTTCAGAGTAAACTGATGCGTTTAAGAAGTCCAATTTAAATCACAAGACTTTTCTAACTTGTGTTTCACTGCAACAGAAACAATGAAACCCCGATGAGTGAAAACATCTTCACTGTCAACACCCAGAGAGCAGCGTTTTGATAAATGATTTCAAAAGCCTGAATGATGGACAGAATGAGGAGTTAGCTGCACTTCAAAACATATTTGGACAAGCACAACAAATGTGGTTTTATGTCCGAAGTATTTCACTTTTACGAGAGAAAAGATAAGAAATTAGAACATTTTCCCCCCACAGGACCAGACTGACTACATGTTTTATATCTCGAAAAAGTTGTATTTCTAAAAGCAGATGTTGGAAAAGGGGAGTTTGATTTAATATCAGTCCATCTGTGTGTTACAGTCTGTTACTTTAAGAAGGCGTTAAAGTTTCTTCATGTCCAGTTTAACTTTTAGGATGCTTGTGCAATGATTTCTGTGCGCAGAGGAATTCCTAATGACCTCTTCACTGCAGAAATGAATATTTTCTTCTTTAACAAAGGCGCTCCAGATCATTACTTACGTGTCTTTCCGTCGTCGGACTGGCGCAGACCTTCTCCCTCTGGGTAGACTGGCACCACGGTCACAGTGTAGGGCGTGTCCGACAGCAGGTTCCTCAGGACGGTGTTGGTGGTGCCGCCTGACACCTGCTCCTGCTCACACACACACAAAACAAGATGATTAGCAGGCAGCAACCTCCGGTTCTTTAAGTGAAGTCAGAGCTTCATGTGTTAAAGCTGCATTCTCTCTAGTGTCCACCAGGGGGCGACTCCTCTGGTTGTATAGAAGTCTATGAGAAAATGACTCTACTTCTCTCTTGATTCATTACCTCAGTAAACATTGTAAACATGAGTTTATGGTCTCAATCTCTAGTTTCAAGTCTTCTTCAATACAGCATGATGTTCATTTAGTACATTATGGTCCATTTAGAGTCAAACAGACCATAAAGCAGGGGATCTGTATCTTATCTTATCTGAATTGTATCTTCTTATCGTATCTTATCCTATGGTAACAAGCCTGTGATGAAGCAGAGGAAGTCTGGTGTCTCACCATGTCCTCGGCTCCTCCTGCTGAAGGAACATAGAAGAGGCGATACTGGCGGACGTTGCCCTCCGCCGGCTCCCAGCGCACCTTGAGGGAGCTGGTGGTGGGATCAGTGACCTGCAGATTCTTCACTCCGCCCAGAGCCCCTGTCAAAAAACCCCCACAGAGAGCCTCGTCAATGTACAAAATGTCATATGTTTGAGTTACAGCCGGCAGCTAAAGACAGGACTCTCCCTTCGACGAACAGATGTGGGAGGTTAGAGGTCTGTTGTCAGGTGTCAGATGACACCTGCTGACTTTCAAAACACTTTACTTTCATTACCTAAACTTCTTCAACATCATTATTTTCAAAACAAGTCGAGAAAAGTAACAACGTTCAAACAGACGAGTTTTTGCCGAAGCTTTTCTGAGAGTCCGATGTGGCCTCAGCTGCTCTACTTACTTGTCTTTCCGTTCTCCGACATGCGCTTCCCTTCCACGTCAGAGTAAACGGGCACCAGCGTCACTTTGTACTCGGTGTCCGGCCGAAGGTCTCTCAGCACCGTGTTGGTCGACATTCCAGACACCTGAGTCTGAAGAGGAAACAGTGACAAAACAATACAAAACGTGTAAAGGAATCTCCGTGTGTCAACATACAGTTTTACCTTCTTCTCTCCCCTGATAGCTTTAAGGTGGACGCTGTCTGACAGTAGTATTCATACGCTGTGTGTCATCCTGTTTCAGCTCTTTATTGAAGCGATACGATGTTTATTCAAACTCATGATCTCATGCTGTTACTGCTGCACCGTTACTTCAGATATCTTGAGCAGCATATGTGATACTTTTCAGACATGTTTGGTAAATAAAAGCCTCGTAGAATAACTGTATCTTAAGACCTCAGCTGATGTTTTATCCTTATTAAAAGAAACCTCATGTCATTGCGTATTACACCAGATTGTTTAGGAAGTAAGTTAAACTCAGTTTAGTTGGATCTCCGTTGGCTTCTGTTGATAATTCGTACAGAACTAATATCTGAGACATTTTAAAAAGACATAAATAGGAAAAGAAGCAACTGACAAGAAATGAGGTGCCATTATCATCAAACCGACCATGCTCTCGGCTCCTCCTCCGGTGGGCACGTAGATGATTTGGTACTGCCTGACGTCGCCCTCGGCTGGCTCCCAGCGGAGCCTGAGAGAGTTGGTGGTGGGGTCGGTCACCTGAAGGTTCTTCACTCCACCCAGAGGCTCTGAAAGAGAGACGGGACGCGTCACGCTCTGAAACACATGAATCCTGGCTGTTTGCTTTGTCCCTGCCGGGTGCACTGGATGGGTGGAGTTCACCTCATCAGTACAGGCCAGATGTCTCAAAGTCGGGGAGGTTGTCAAACACAGAGGAGTGTATTTCCCTTTTCTCTGACTGTCTACAAACCTTCTGGCTCTCATCGTCTTCTTTTGTGAGACACAAAAACACAAATAAATAAAGTCTGTCCTCTCATTCTTGCGTGTTTTAGCACGTTAAATGCAAACACAGTTTACTTTACATCACTGGCAGGCTTGTCAGATGGACTTCCTGTCCTTCAGGCAGCCTTTGGTTTCATTTCAGTACTCTGGCATGAAAATGTAGTTCTTTCCTCAAAGGTATGTTACTGTAGTGCGGTCACGCTGTTTCCTGCAGAGAGAGTTTTTTCAAAACTGTCCTTTCAGTGGAGGAATGAAGAACGCTGCAACAGCCACGAGTCAGCTGCTGAGACGCTCTATATCAGCCGGCCACGCTGTTAGGGATAAATCAGTCGAGATTTTTATCACAGCCTCCTGCTTCAAGACAGAACCTCAGAAAAATGAGCAAAAGTGGGAACGTGGTTGAGGTCGGGTTGAGGTCGGGTTGAGGTCGGGTTGAGGTCGGGTTGAGGTCAGAGCATCCTGGTGGCCTACAGGTTCTGTTCTTTTCAACCTGGACCATGTTTTCCAATGTTTCTGTGTCTAAGTGACTAACGGGGACAACAGAAGTTTAAACTGGTCCAGTATTGAAGGAGAAGGCTGCAATGCACCTCGTCACCATCAATGTACGTCCACTAGAAGTTCTTGTTGTTTCCACTGACACACTCAGATTGTTATTTGAAGTGTCTGACAACATTATGGAACGAAGCCTCCAGAGAAATAAGACCTCTTTCTTTACCTTTACCTTGTTGTTGTGAGTCCCTCTGAAGGAGAAGTCTCGTTCTGAAACCTCTCGTCACATCAGCTTTGTCTAAATCATCTAAATATTCATCCGTGACGTTGAGCATCTTTTAGATGAACACTAAGCTTCTCTTTCTGATCTCCAACAACACAAACTGACAACACCGACTCTCCTCCCTCCAGCTGTCACTCACGTTCACACTGTCGTCTCCTGGTAACAAGTCACATGACACAATAACTAACAGAATTATTTCTCTGTCGGGTTCTTTCCATCACTTATAATAATAACAATCTGAGTCTGTGGAAACAACAGGAACTCTTAGTGGAGGTGCATTACGATTACATTACAACCTG